ATGTGATTCGTTTGAAAGGCATCGTGTTCATATATATTTACACTTTTCACTTAAAAAAAAATAACATCTCGTCTATATCTCATATTCGGATATTAACCAAAACCGTCTAGCTAGAAATTTTTTCGAAACTATGAATTTCATCATGCTCTCTAAAATGTTATTGGCATTTTCATCCATTTGCGTATTTCATGTTGGTTTTGCTCAACAATCATATGGAAATTCAACTGTTTCGGCACTTTTCGCATATGGAGACTCAATACTTGATACGGGCAACAATAATCTTCTTCTCACTCTTACTAAAGTCAATTTTTTTCCATACGGTAGAAACTTTGTAGGTGGAAGACCTACCGGAAGATTTGGAAATGGAAGAGTTTTTTCGGATATGATTGGTATATATTGATCTATGCATTTTGTAACGGTTTAATTAGTTTTCGATATTAGTAAATGGAAATTTAATGTCTCACAAAGCTTATCTAATAGCAATGTCTTTCTATGCAGCCGAAGGTTTGGGATTGAAGACTCTCTTACCGGCATACCGTGATCCGACCCTCTCGGATGATGATCTACCGACGGGTGTTTGTTTTGCATCCGGTGGATCTGGACTAGATGCAATCACTGCAAGAATACAAGTAAACTATTTTAACCATTTTGTTCAAAATAATCTATATTAATCACTCTTTAATTATTATAAGTTCTAATAGAACTCTATTGTTTTTGTCATGGTGAATGTAATAGGGAGTTATATGGGTGTCAGATCAGGTGAACGATTTCCAAAACTACATCACTAGACTAAACGGTGTAGTAGGAGATCAAGAAAAAACAAACCAAATTATATCAAACGCGGTTTATTTAATCTCAGCGGGGAATAACGATATTGCGATCACATATTTTACTACGATGACTAGAAGATTTCAATACACTGTTCCAGGCTACACTGATCTCTTGGTCACTTGGACTCGTGATCTCATAAAGGTACAACTTTTAAAAACTCCAAGATATAAAACATAGCTATGTGATTAGCTTTTTGTCAAAATGTATTTAAGTTTCGTTATTTGTTTGTTTTTGTTGTTTCAAAGAGTTTATATGATATGGGTGCAAGAAAATTTGCGGTTATGGGAACGCTACCACTAGGTTGCTTACCGGGAGCAAGAAGCATGATTGGGAATGTACTTAAGATATGTGAAGTATTCTCAAATCAAGCGGCTGATATGTTCAACAAAAAATTATCTGCGGATCTTGACAATCTAAGCGCGACATTTCCGGGTGCCAAATTCATGTACATAGATATGTACAATCCTCTTCTTGGTCTCATCAACAACCCTCAAGCTAATGGTAACGCCAAATTCATGTACAATGCTCTTCTTACATTATAATTATATATTTTTCAAAACATTTGATATGTTATCATTGGTTGGAAAATGTAGGGTTCATTGATGTAACTGATGGATGTTGTTGTACGCCGACTTCTATAATACCGTGCTTAGACGCATCTCAGTACGTGTTTTGGGATGTTGCACATCCGACCGAGAAGTCGTACCAAACGATCACACCAAGTATTATTGAAGCAATCAAAGAAAATCTCGCTTGATCATCAGTTTCTCAAGCTTTTATAACTTGTTATAATTAATACTCAAAACGTTTTGATATCCAGTCTAAAGAAATAATATGTTATATCAGTTATCTTAACCCTTTCACTTTTCTCAAACTCAATATTTGTTTCTCTAACATACATTTCGGATCTTTATAGTCAAGTGACTCAGTAATATTACAATTGATTGATATTGTAGGGTTCAGATTTCAATTATGGGCCATTATTGGGTCTTTGAACTTTCTAACGCTTGCTAGCATCCTGAATTTTTTTTTTTTTGGTCGAAAAGCATCCTGAATATATATTATCAACTAAACGGTGGATTCATATATATTCGATGAATATCACTATCAACATGCAAAAATTACTGTTGTGTTTCTATCACGTGCATGCG